TTTGGGGCATTACTGACTTTAATAAGTTTTACGAATACATATTTAAATCATCCTCGATCTTGACATTATTTCTGAACAAGTCTAATAATCAGCCAAATAGCTGCCAATAGAACTGATTATGTAGCCACCCGATGCTACAATCATCATCGGTTTAATAAGAATACGACCTTTGTGCAATGAGAAGAGACGTCTTTGCAAGATATTATTGCCTGGCTTTTTGGTATAAATATACGTTGCATCGAAAATAATTACCACTCCGTCGCCGTCGGTTAGCAAAGCACTAGCTAGTGGAGTAGTGTGTTTTTTCAAAATTTCTTCTCTCGTTATATGATGAAAGCCTAAGTATTGAGGCACAAAATCGCGTAGCAAGGCATCGTATGCACTATGATTAATTTTACCAACGACGCGTCTATCGCTATATGCAAAAAGTGTTGCCAATACTTGATTACGTAGTCCGGTTCTCAATTTTGTAAGCAGACAGCCAATTGCCATTCGAATCGATCGATTTTCCGTGTTTCTCATTCGTACGATTTTGGTTAAACTATTAAATTGTTCTCTATCGATACCAGTTAAACAGCGATAGTCTTCATCACTACAGAGAAAGGGGTCATCAAAATTCAAAATAGTATGTGGTTTAAACAAAGACTGTGGTTTTATCTGTTCCAAATGTGATTGAAGTTCTTTGATTAAGAGAGAGATTTGTTCGCCGTTTGCAGTATTTTCAGCCGTGGTAGAATGATATTTTTGAAGGATTTTGACAGCTGCTTCATTTAAGTGATCGCCTTCGATATGGCGAAGACAGGAGCGTGAGCCGTCTTTAAAATAAACCGAGTGATAAATAAATGTATTGATTCGAATTTCGTCACTCATTTTTGTAGAAGGTGTTCCGTCATCCAAAGTTTGATGGCATACCAAACAATATTTCTTTGAGAAACCAGGAAATGCAATCGGCAACTTAATTGTGTCTTCAGTTAAAAGAGAGCATTCCGTTGTTTTGGCACCTGAACTGGACGAAGTGGCTTGCAATCCCACGGAAGAAATAGTTACAGTTTCATTTTCTCTCGTTTAAGTGTCCATCTCTATATTTGAATCATCTGTACTTACACCACTTTTAACGCTTCTGCTGTGTTTCATGTAACAAGCTGTACATAGTGCAGTCTCATCATCAATATTATGCCCGTAGAGTTTTAGATACAAATCGTTGACGTAATCGAACATATCCGGCGTGTTTTTCAAGTGAGGCTTCTTCTCTTTTCGTAGATCTTTTTCACACAAACCACAACGAGCACTATTGAATGGCATTCTAATTTTTCTAGTATAGCACTCTGAGCTAACGATTATAAAACATATTCGAAGAGGAATGACGTTTTGTGCGGTTTAGCACGTCTAATATAATTTTATTTCATAAAAAATACAGAATGTAACACACTACTGTGAAGGTTTCTAATGCCTATAACTATTTGTATAGTCAGAGAAAATTATTATCTTTTTGTTTCGAATACGTGCCTTCTCAGCCATCAATCATTATGTATTCTCTTCTCATTTTTTTATCAGTATTTTAAAACATACAAAAATGAGTATACTTCGTTTCTGATTCACTACTTCTCTGTAGGATACGGCAAGAGTGTGAGTACGTGAAAAAACATTAATATTAAACAGAACTCACCAAAATGACGAAGTTCATTCTGAATTATCCGTAAAAACATTATTATAGCAAAAGCCCATATAGTCCTTCACTTGGCTATTAATTGTGAAACAACCCTTTGGCGAAACTGTTGGAAGAACGTCAATTCTAACGGATATCAGTGATAAACAGCTGTCTTGCATTCAGATCAAAAAAATATGTAGCTGATGTCAAAGATTCTTAAAAAGTTCATTTGTGCCGTTTTTCTTACATCAGCGGGAAAAATTGAGCGCTTTTTAAAAAATTGCCATCCTTTTTTTATTTTATTTTGCTACCAGCGGAAAGAGCGTGAAAGATTGAGTATGCTAGAGTGTGTTTGCAAGCGGATCATCTACCAGGGAAAAACATGAGAGTCGGCTTTTGATGAACGAGTGATTTTTCCTATGTTTTTGAAATTTTCCGGAATCCAGCCCGTTATATTAAAGTGGATCGTGTTTACATTCACTAATTTCAAAGGCAGGCACATCAGTGAATCTAAATAACTGTATTTCAAAGCCTACAAACTTTTCTCTAAGGTTACAGACCCACGTGAATCTTTGAAAGCCAATTTTGTAGGCGTACAATAGAATGCGTTTTTCTCCATGAAAACTTACGATTTCGCAATTTTTAACATCAGATTCGTAATCAGGATAAAATTCTGGTACAGAAAAACTTTTTCCCCAATTTTTTTGAAGAAAAAAATTTTCCAACTTTCTTCTGGTCCCCCCTTGCCCTAAAATTTTTCGAAAAAGTAAAGCGACAGTTTTGTTCAGAATTCGACGCTGATTCCGAAAATGTATAATTTATTGTATTTTGTTGGGGGACGCAAAGTGGCCTTATCGGCCCACGTCCCTTCTCGAAAAAGCTAAGTTTTTAGTATTTTGATTTTTTCTCAAAAACTGCTGAACAAATTCTCTCGAACAACATTCCATTCGATGCAGAATAGAATTCTCAATAAAATGAAATGCTTTTATTGATAGTCAGATATACGGATGGTGTGGTAAAAATAAAATACTAAAAACATTTGGCTTTGAAAAATATGTTTTTTTTGCCTGTTTTTGCAAAAATATCTAACTTAAGTGCTTGGATCTCACGTAAAAGTTATGGCATTTTGTAGAGCTGAGAATTCTCTTCAAAATATGCACAAAAGAGAACAAAAGAAAGTTTCACCTAATGGATTTTGGGGTCAGAGTAAATGGATGAAACCTCAAAAATGGATGATTATGTGTGTTTTTTTTGTTTTTCTCCTATTTTTCCTTTCCTTACGAGAAAACTGAGATGTAATCCACAATCTACGATAAAAACTCGAGTGATTGACGCATTTGAAATTATCAAATACATACAGGTTAGTCAGTAGGTCCTTCACTTTATACATAATAACTATATTGACTCCTAACCTACTTGTCGTTATAGAAAAATTATACACTTTTCTATAATATAATATATTATTCGATACCCCTTGAAATTCTCTTCATATATCTCTCTTCATATTTGGTGAAGAGAGATACCTTTATAACTTTAAAATCATTACAAGTAGAGGCTTTGGATCTTAGCAGATGGATAGATGATACATTTTTCCATCGAACTATCTAGCTGAAATGTGAAAGCTGTCGCGACTCCAATATATGACGACGTTATGCACAAAACGCGCAAGATGTAACTTACCAAGCGAAGCTGTTTACTGTAAAACAAAGCATAGATGAACAGAATCGAGTATATCTCTGATCGAAAATATTGATGCGAATCTCTAACTACTTTCGTTCTAGAAGTATTCAAATAACATCCATGGCCACTCAATTAGGGAATGGATACATGTTCATCTATTAATAGTATTTTAACTAGACATGCACCGGCAATTCTGCAGTTTTTACAAAAACTTTTTTGTAGAAGGCAAAATGACGTTCTTGAATTGAACCGCTCAGTTTTTTAATGCTGATATTTCTCTATAAAATTAGGTATAACAGCATTTTTGGTTTTAAGTTAGTACTCATATAATAACTGTTTGCGAAACATGCCGCGACCGGTACTGATACTGATGCCGGTTTAAACCGATTTATCTTTGCTGACCGAGAAATAACTATGCAGAAAAAAAAGACGAAGAGTTCTGTCATGTCTCATTGTGTAGAAAGGTGCTTAGTGTACAAAAGTGAATCGTCAAAAAACTTTGATAGTTTGTACTTTTTAGTCGAAATGATTGAAAAAAAGGGAAAAATATACCGATACATATCAGGACATGGCTAATTTTAACCGCTGCGAAGTTCGAAATTATTCTATGCCTCTTACCTGCCAGCGTTTTCCTTGATTATTCTCTTCACCGTCAACGAAAGTTATACCCCATGTAATGAATCGTAAGCAGTTTCTTTAGTAATTCCGATCAAAAGCCGTTATACTATGATATTTGGGGAACAAAATGTTCATTAAGCCCGCTGCCGATTTTCGTCAAAAGTATTGATTTTTGAGAAAAGCACATGGTTGGATAGCCCAAAGTGTCTACTTTCTAATGGCATAATTTCTGTGTCGATAGGGTAGGTTTTTTATAGCTTTTGAGCAAGTTTTCCAAAAGCCCTATAGCAAAAAAATGGCTTTTTTGCACTTGTATTGCATAAGCGCACGCATGTACTGCACATGGCACATATTCATTAAATCCGCCATGGCTGATAACCTATAGCAAAATATCAACAAATTGTTTAACGCTGAAATAGTTTTTATGTAAAATGCGTTTAACAGAATCAAAACTTATTTTTCGTTTTCGTTAAGACTGTTTTTCAGCTTCAGAGCTTTTGCCACGCACAGAAATTCTCGGTAATGATACATCGGAAGAAGAATTTTTCGTTTTAGATTTGTAGACAATACCTATAGGTAGGAGTTGACAGAGTCCGATTTTTAAATTATTTTTTATAGAAATGACGATTTCTAAGAAACCTTCCAACAATTTTTCGGACTTTAACGTTCTATTAAGTACCAGAAATCAGCAAAATGAGAAATTCAAAAATCGGGAAAAAATTTTTACAATTATTACCGGAACGACATAAAATATGTACAAGTCAATATGTTACCAAAGAATGGATACAATACAGAACTTCATAAAGCTGAGTTTCGCAAAAAAGCAATTGGTTTATTCCAAATGTTAACAAAATTATGTGAATCTATTATTCAACTGAATATATTAAATGGTAAATTAATTAATCACCAATTGAAGCAACTATTAATTCATCTATTCATTTATTTATATCATCAATCAAAAATATATATACACATTCGTTACAATTAATACATGATACAACACAATCAAATGGATTAATATCAAGTAATTTAGCATTATATTATTTTTATCAACAGCAAACTATTGACTATCGATACTGGCTTAGTTATACTTATTATAATACAAATCAAACATGTTCATGTACAAATCCAAATCAGTCTATGAAACAAATACAATTATATAGTTATTTAGATCCAATTAATATGTTAGGAAATGTTTTATATGTGGGTTGCTATATATATGAATCATTATTACTATCAACATTAGAATGTTTTTATTCTCAGCAATGTTCTAAATTTAATACGATATTAGAGTCAGATTATTATTATTTAGATAGTCCAATTTCATTACTAAATTCATCGATATTAATTAATTTTCGACACAATCAACCATAGACGAGTTTAACACAATTAATGGTTAATCAATGGATGTCATTAGTGTCATATGAAACTTATTTTAATGAATGTCAAAATACATTTACTGAAAAATTTGATATTTTTTATACAATAACAACAAATATTAGGTATCGTTGGAGGTTTGAAAACTGTTTTAACATTTCTGATACCAAATTTTATTATAAAAACAAATCTTTATCTACCACCACTGATTGGAAACGGTTACAGAAAAATGAAACCACGACAAACAAATCAAGTTCAATTCCTTGAAAATAATACAGATAATGCAAGTTAAAACAAAACGAAAGATACTTTTTTGTAGGAGATAGAACCGTTTATACAAAGCCTTTTTCTCTTTATTGTAGATTTTTCTCGACAATGAACAGCAACTTCATTAAGAAAGTAAGACAAAAATTTTTATGTTGAGACTTTAAAAAGTTATTTTTTTTGCTTATTGGTGAAAAAATAGGATCAGCTGGTGAGAAATTTTAACTATTATTACTTCTCTTAGTTCCATTACTGTTATTCTAATAATACTTATATTGAAACA